ATTTGTGCAGATGTAATAATCAAAAATGTTGCCTTTTTTTTTTTTTTTTTTTTACAGCAAATACCAGATTTTCTAAAAATTGTAAACTTGGTGACTAAATAAAACTTCTGATCCTCCCCTTGATCTTGTGTATTTGTTTTGTGCGGGTCCCCCCACAACAGCCCCCCAACCCTACTTGTGCCCATTTTCCCCCACCCAAAGCCCCTGCTCAAGCCCCTTGCCCCCCACCCAAAGCCTCTGCCCCCCTCACTGCTTGTGTCCCTTGCCCCCAACCGCCCCCCCCCAAAGCCCCTGCCCCCCCCAGCCCAGGCTCCATGGCTATCAGCAGCTACCCAGAACCTGATCCAGCTGTAGCTGGGAGGCTGCAAACAGCTGCTGTCTCCCTGCCCTGGCACCAGCCCTGGCCGCCTCCCAGCCCTGGCCCTGGGTGCCTCACAGCCCCAGACCCAGCCCTGGGCTTGGGGGAAGCAACAGGTGCCAGTGATGATCCCCGCTGTGCTGCCCTCCCCACTGCTTCGGCAGAGCAGCATGTGGAACCCGGCATGGCAGGGCACAGTGTGGGGCACAGAAAGCTGGCTGCTACTCTGAACTCCCCACTGCCCTGGCCACACTTCCCCTGGCAGGTGGGGAGAGCGGCAAGGGGCACAACCCTGCATTCTGCCCATGCTGCTCTTGTGCACACAGGGGAAGTGTGAACCGGGCAGCGCAGAGCCTGCAGCAGTAGGCAGCTTCCCTGTGTGGCCCCTCTGTACACTGCTGCCCTGGGTCACACACACTGCAGTCCAGAGGGCCCAGGGGAGGGCAGCAGGGCTGGAAGCACTAGTATGCTAGGAAAAAGGAAATAAAGGCTCAGTCTAAGACAAAAAAATTAATTGTTTTTGACATTTAGGACAAATGAACTATTTAAGATCTTGCCATGCATTTAAAAAAATAGGTTTTCAAGTACTTATGAGAAATATTCATGCTTAAAGACTGAATAAAGAATAAAACTTAGAGGAGAAATTAATTGTTGAGGCAGACTATATCAGGATTACTAGAACCAAAAATTAAGCCTACATTAACATTTCTGAAATATTATTTGGGCTAATGGCAGACAATTTTCTTCCATGTGGAGGGGAAGGGGAAGAAACTGGGAGAAGTGTGAGGATAGGTAGCAGGAAGCAAGCTGTCCCACCCCCTCCCTCCCCAATTCCACTGCTACAGCAGTGTAGGGGACAATTTTAAGATAATTTTTCCAATAAACAACAATAATTAGATTCTGTATATGGAAATTATAAATTTATAAATCTTCCATGAATAGAATATAATCTTTGGGGGGACATCCTAAATTGAGGGTCATCTTGGATTCAGGTAAATACAGTATATTAATACTGTAGTGAAAGAATAAGAAGCATATTTATTTTGTTTGGAGAGCAAGACTGTGCTGGTAAACTGTAGAGAAGAAAATTACTAAAGAAACTATTTTGTCACATTATAAGAGAAAACAATAAACAATAAAAAGTAGAGTCCTTTAAACAGAACAATGCAATAACACAAAAATGAGAACACACTTTCCTGGGAGACAGTGAAAATATTTTAACTTTTCAAAAACAAAAAACTGATCCTTCCAAGCTACGTGTGGGAAAACTAGTATCAAAATAAGGGCCTAGATTCTAGTAACAGTCTCTCAGAGCCCCATTGGTTTTAATAATATTATTCACAAACAACATAATAAATATCAAACTATGCGGGCCTTGGCATTTAAAAGTAATGTTTTCATTA